TGCTCGACAATACTGACTGTGAATAGCTGAAAGTGTATGTTGCTTAACGATTGTATAAATATATATAATAGAAAACATTTTCGTCACTGCTTAATTTGTTTTATCGAGCATTGGCATGTGTGCCTAGGCTTCAGTTCGGAAGCCAAATGGAGAGATTCTGTGGAGATGTCTTACTGTCTCACTGTTGTTAACAGTTGCTTTTTGTTGGGTCTTTAAGAGACCATTGGAACATTTTTTTATCAGTTTCAATTCTAAGTGGAATCCAAAACCTTGGAAAATACGTTATTTTCTTCAACACTAGTGGCCATGAAGCCCATTACACACACCTGAAATCAGCAACATTTGTACTAATTAACCTTGTTTGTGATTTTGTGATTTGTCCCATGTCTATTCTCGTGTTGGTGCATTGCACATTTTGGTAGCCTTGTGTGGTGTTTTTTGAAGGCATGTTCTCTCTCAGCCATAATGCTTTTTTTCCCAGATGATGTTGGCCTTTGTGCATACTGTTGACAGGCTTGGTATCAGTACCTGCAGTTACTGTGGTTGTCATTAAAAGGCAAAACTAAAGGCATGACTTTTAAGCAACTGCCAAGGTACAAAACAGTGCCTCACTAAACTTGACCTATAGGCACAGTGCACCCCAAGGCGTTTGATTTAAAAACTTCCTATCACGCTATTAATGGTGAGTAGGTTTCTTTTGTTTGTTGTACATTTGCATCGTTTAAAAAAGTGTACCATTTCCACTTTATTAGATATGAAATGTCCTCTTTCTAAGATGCAATCATAATTAGGCCTGAATTCTTCATTAAAGCTTGGTGGGGGTGACCAAAATCAATGTTAATTTAGTGAGTCTTTACTGTGACCTGCAACTTTATGCAGATTATTTGGATAAGAATCTAGTTACGGTGACATTCTTTGGTAAACTGATGCTAAGAAGCTTTTGAAGGAACTTTCCAGATTAGCATTTGAAAGAAACAAAAATTGCAGAATAAATCTCAGGCAAATATTAAATGTATCAAACTGCTGAGACAGTTCTGGTTTGGCACATGCCATATTGTTTTAGAAACCAACTACTTTGCATTTCATTTATAATATACTTTAGTTCACACTGCATTTACCCGCTTGTACATTGATGTCACATGAATGGAGGTTTGGCCGGAAGGAAACTATTACTTTTTACATATAACTATGCACATTTATAAAATGGTAAACCACTTCTCAATGTTAAACGTAGCCCAATATATTTTTTAATCTGCACTAAAGCAGAATTCTGTTTTTTGGCGTCCACACGCCAAAGGTGTCCACCACTGCACAGCCGTGAAAAGTTTGGCACCAATGCCAGGCACATGCCAGGCACATGCCAGGCACATGTCAGGCACATGCCAGGCACATGCCAGGCACATGCCAGGCAAATGCCAGGCACATGCCATTCATGCTGCCCCAGTGTGTTAGCTCTTCCCTTTCTTGGACTGTAAGAATTTTAAATTACTACGGCTTATTGGTTTTCAAACGTCTTGCATATAAAACGGATGCACTCATTTTATAAAAGTGTGTGCTCATAAAATCCATGTTTATATAATCCGATTGCATTAACATGCATGATCAGCATACTTAAAGGATGCTGCTGTGAGTATTGTCCAGCACTCTGTTGAATGCCCTCATAAGACAACCACTGCTGTCTTAATACAAGACACCACCTAACATATCAATAACGTCTCTCCAAAACTTCCCTATGTTTTGTGTCCTGTGTGTGTGCATATTTTAGACTGGCATGCAAATCCAGGCACGCATACTCAATGACCAACTCATTCATTGATTACAGTCTTTAAAACTTTTACACGTCGCTCTAATACCTGCCTTTACATGTGCAGAAGCGCACCGTGTAGGGTCTTGAAAAAAAAATAATTGCATGCATATGAAGGTAAATAGAGGCACATTTGACCGCAAGGTCTGAGTAAAGAGCATTGTGAACTTGCCACTAATCGCTTCCCGTAGAAAGAGAAAATGACACGTAAAATACGTTGATAATTATGAAATTGTACTGCAGTGTAGCAATGGGCTGCCAGTGAGAGAAAAAAGGGTTTGTGACCATATGGACCGTTGCCTTGTCTTGTGCTGGCTGCTGGTTCCTCTCTGTGTAAAGGCTCTTTTCCAAGCCTTACACTTCTATAATGCAATACTTGTTGCTGTTGTTAAAAACAAAAAACATAATTCTCAATTACCGTTATATACCAAGCACTGGCATGTGTGCCTTTAAGATAAGCAAATGGGTTAAACGGATTGGGTTGTTAACGAGTTTAGCTTGATTACATTCAAGGACCCTCATCAGAACCGGTGTTATGTTAATGTGCATACACACTAGCTTTCATAAGTATAATATGGGCATGCAGGCATAGGCACTGGGTAAAAATATTTTCCTATGGGGCAGAAATGTTATTTTTAGTAGAAATGTTTTTTAAGTCGTAATTTTTTTTTACGTCCAAAAATTAGAGAGTGCAGAGTAGGCGGGTAGATCGACATGTTTGTGTATGTGCGTTTATTTTGAACTTCTTCCATACCATACGTAGCCAACCACGCTAATCAGACATGCAGGGGAAGGGCAACAAACTTAACACAACAAGCAGTTATAAAAAACCGAGTTTTCAATCTTGTTTAAAAGGTCCATTGCCTCAATGGCTTCCAAATATCGGAAGGAAGAGCAGTCACCGTCTTTGATGGCTAGCCAAAAAGCCGCTGCGAGGATGACATGGCTAAGGGCACGGGTTCACCGATTGCATCAGTCTACCACGTGCTCCACTCGCGCCCTTGCCGAGTTTGGATTTGGGAGGTTTTGCTGTATTCGCTGGGTTCTTTGAGTGCAAGGTGGTAAACTGGTTTGAGGGCCAAGCTCACCGATGCATGCAGGTGTGCTAATTGTCGATCTACGATTGTGCCTTGGATACCACGATGTGTGAATATGTATTTTTGTATGTATGTTGAACTTCTTTCGCTCCGTATGTAGCCAACCGCGCGAAGCGGAGGTGCGGGGGAAGGACAACAAACTAAACTCACAAAGCAGTTTTAAAGAAATTAGTGAACAGTCCTTTGCAAATTGTTATCCTGATTGCTTGAAGACGCCACACGATTGTGGTACTGATTGATGGTGGGCGTATAATAATAATGATGATTTGTTTTTGATGTGGCTCTTTATACACCGGAGTATCTCTGTGCGCTTTGCATCACATCTCATCTCAAAACATTTGAAAGAGAACCCCCAGTGGCAGTTATCAATGTTGGCACGTGGTGACTCGGCATCTGCCCTGCAAGCGGACATTCGTCTGCCAGTTGGGGGGGCGATGGTTGCCAGGTGTAAATGTACAATTGAGAAATTAGCGGATATGTATTTAAAGTACTTCAGAGGAATTCTGTTTGCCATGAATGTGTACCCCATGATATGCTCTGTTTGGTCCAGTGAAAGCTTGACTGAACCGTTGAAAGAGTACTCCCAATGTGTGCCATTTATCAGTTCTGTTTTTCACTGTCTCTGCTCGTACAGAAATGCTTAGCCATGTGGCACAGCTGATCTTTGCGCAAACCCTTTCACATGGCGGCTGCTACAACACCGCCGCTGGTGCTGACTTGGTATAAGCGCCATCTGGGCAAATACACTTTTTTTATTATTCAGTTGAATCCCCTCTGACAAAATGGAGGCTCGTTTAATGCACTGGTGGCCAGCTTGTGTAGAGATTATACATGCAGTGTAAATTAGCACGCAGGCCTTTTGTGGGATGTTCACAGCCAACTAATCGAATTGTTTGATATTTTTCCTTGTCAAGCTCATTCATTCGCACAGCCACACCTACTGCAGGCAAACTCTGGCTCGCTCATCAATCGCCCTCGTATGCTTTGATAATTGAGAATTTGCCTTGGCCAGTGGTTTTATGATGAGCTCATTTTAAAATAATCCTACATCACGAGTTTTTATTTGATGTGTATAGACACGAAGGAATAAAACCCATTTATTATTTTTAAGACATAGGTGTGTATTCACATCTTTTTTGAAAATTGCTAAATATGTGCAATTAAGGTAAGGAATATATTTCAAAAATAGGGTTATTTTTGCGACTGTAATATTGTCTGTATGCTGATTGCAATTGATCTGTAGTTGTCCATATTGTACTAACTGTGAATAATCGAATCATACTATTTGAAAATCAGTAAGTACATTTGAATCTTCTTGCCAATAATGCATACCTGGTTTTTATAACTTGCAGGGATTTAAAATACATATTTTATTGATGTTGACAAAGCATTGCCAATCCTACCTTCAATTTGTTTTGCTTCCTGTACTCATTTTGTTTTCAAAGATACAACTATTTCGTGCATCTATGTCTGTACGTTGAACTTTCTTTCGCACCATATGTAGCCAACCATTCTAAATCGATAGTGTGACATACAACATCCTTGTTTTTTTTGGGCTATTTGAAGATTGTAATTTGTGGTTGCAGTAATACAGCCAGGTATTGCAGGGCCGAGGTGGCACGGGCCAAAAGAGATGTGGAATAAATCATGCAGATTTTCCGTGAAAACATTTCAATATGTACAGCATGAAAAGCCACATGCGTAGCTTGCAAAGTTTAGCCACTTCCTGTGTTATTTTACGACCTCGCTGGATATTTTGCTGGAATCCTGATAATTTGGCTTAAATTCAGGTGTTATTTTGCAAGAATGCCCATTTCAAATTCAATACACCCCCCCCCCCAACGCAGGTCTGTCCACAAGTGTTTTGTGCGTACTTTACATAAAAAAAAATTTCTCCCCATAACCCTTCCCACACAACAGCCACCCAGCAGCGACGATGGTGCCAAAGCTGTGCACGATGTTGTCCCAGTGAAAATGCGACGCAAGTTTAATTTTCATACCGTGTTTTGAATGTTGCATTTTTTTGCGTGCGTTTGATGTCAAAACAGGAAGCGCATTAATAATTACATAAATGTATTTTTGTTCTCAATGTTTTAAAGACTCCAAGTTCTTGGACGAAAGATTCTTCTGAGAAGAAAAAAGGCTCGCACAAACGTTCTGCATCTTGGGGAACCTCAGACCAATTAAAAGAGGTATGCGATCATAATGAATCATACAAATATCATTCAGTGTTTGCCATTAATAAAATAGAGTAATAGGTAATCAAATAATCCAACTTTTTTAGATAGTAGGTCAATAATAGCTGTGAAAATTATTTACTACTTCATTAGCCATCTAAGTTGTTTTCCTCATGTAATCTCATGCATATTTATAAACTACTGGTGATATCCAAAGCTATGACACTTGGATGTGCAAGACTGAAGGCTATATAGGACAGTACGTAATCTGCAGATGTTTCTCATAGTTCGATCAAATGTGACCGATTGTCTAGAATTTAATTGCTTTTCACACTCCATCAGTGGTTTCAATACTACACTTTTGTTATTGAGTTTAGAAGTTAATTACACACTGATAAATGATTGCCTACATGTTTTTGGCAGCATGCTATAGTCGACTGTTTAATTAACTATGTCACCTATTTTAATGTCTTTGACTTACGTTTTCCAAGTTTTCACTCAATCCCTTTAGTTTTCAGCCATACACATGAGCTGCTGATCTTTTGAAACATAAAAAGAAGAAATAGATGTATTTATCAAACATATATATTTTCACTAATTAAGCTATGATTTAAATGTTATTCATGCAGTAACAAAGTTTTTTAGCATATATTACCCATCTCTTTTTTTATTCTAGGAGATAAGCCTGAAATGTTGATGCAGTAAATTTATATACAGTGAAACCTTGGATTGCGAGCATAATTCGTTCCGGAAACGTGCTCGTAATACAAAGCACTCGTATATAAGAAATCATGGAAACTCAGATGATTCTTCCACAACCCAAAAATACTGTATTCATATAAAAATGATTAATACAAATACCTTTTTATATTTTTATTATTGAAATTTAATATAAAGTAATCAAATTTATTAATTACATTTAATCGTGGCTGGTGTGAGGGAGACGAGAGAGAGGAGGAGGAGGGTTATTATGTAGGACGACTTTCGCTTGCAGTACAGTTACTAAAGAACAGTCACTACACTTGGACACAAAATAAAAAAAATGCTTTACGCACACACACGTTGTCACAACACTATACTGTAGTAAGCAGTATACGCTACGCACGGATGTTGACTATACGAGTGAGGCACGCCGAGATGATTACCCACAATCCCGCAGCGAGAGAGCGAATAACCATTGGCTCAGTTGTGATCACGTGACGCTTGCCAGACGAAGCGTATACTTTACGTACTGCTCGTATTGCAAGACATCGCTCGTTTATCAAATAAAAAAAATTGCTCGTCTTGCAAAACACTCGCAGACCAAGTTACTCACAATCCAAGGTTTCACTGTAATGTCTTTTAATAAATTGTCATGCATAGTCAGCAAAGGAACGTTGCGCCAATAGTGTGACCTCTTGTACAAAACATAATCAAGACATTTTTATTATTCCAAACTAGAAATGACTTATCATTGGAAGCATTTAATGTACGTTCCTTATGTGTTCTTAAATGAGCGCACTAGCATTTGATAATCAAATTCAGTATGGAATTGTTTTGTCAGTGCCACAAGCACTTATAGCAAACACTAAATCATTTATAAGCATAACTTCTCTGTCTTCACATGAAGGAGAAAAATACATGTTATTCCATCAGCCTCTTGGTGTGCTGACCAATGTTGTCCAGCAGCATTAATTCTAAACCTATTTTGACCTTCTGGGTCAGAAGCCCAGTATGTGAGGACCTGTCCATAGAATATTGGTCTGAAATATTTTAATTTTCAGTTAAACTTATTATTTCTAAGTAATTGAATGCAATGCACCACATATAGCAACTTTATTATAGTTAACTAAATGTGCAAGTTACGTCATGCACGCTCACAAGATCACTAATAATTGCGGTAATGCACGTGATGGCACTTCATGACATGGCTGTTGTACTGGTGCATGTTTGAGCTCGCGGGTGTTTGATGGGTCACAGACGATATGCGGTGTTATCGCATGCTCCTCATTCCTCCTCCCCTTTTACAATACAAGTATATGGCAGCGGTGCTCAATTAACTCTGGCTTATGAACAAACCAGTTGAACTTTTTTTAGACAAAACTAGTATGGGGGGTGGAGTGTGGGGGGATTGTAATTCTGCATTGGCCGTGGTGCAAAAGCACAGATGACAACAAAAACACATTTGTCAATAAAACTGTGCCCTAAATTGAACTTATTTTTGCAAATTAACTTTCACTCTATGAAGAAGGGCCATTACCTGAAGCGTTGCCTATTATGTATTTTATTTATTTTGATGAGTGCCCACCTTGCAATTGAGATCAAGATGATTGCATGATGTATTCTGGCTGTGGACTCTATCGAGGTACAGATCGATACACCAGTGGATGAACTTAGTCGAGTCTCCCTCCTTCTGGTCTTAAGTCTTCTGTCAGTGGGGTTGTGGTGTGTGCCACTGGATTTGTGATCCCTACTTAATGGGGAACTGGTGCACAGTTGTTTACATTGCTATTAAGGTGCATAATTCACAATGACCACATGCTAACCATTTTAGCTATTAGCTTGATCAAGTTTTTTGCGTCTGTTTGCTTGCAATTTTCACTTGAAAAACAGCTTTTGACTCAACAGAAACACAGGTTACGTAGGTACAAAATGTATTCGTTCCCAATCAAACCTAAACATAATTCACATTAACAAGAATTAAGAGCTATCTGCATTGAACTACTGTTTACATTATTGCACTTGAACGGCTAAGCTATTACATCTCAAATTTCGATTTAAAGCTTTTGACTGCAGGGATTCATCTTCCTGGTTCTTTCGGTAAGTCACGTAGAAGGGAAATATTTTATTATTTCCCTTGTGACTTTACCGAAAGAACCAAGAAGATACATCTCAAATGGTTCCTCTCACTTTGTTATTGTCTGCTTATTTGTGCGTACTTGTTTTTAATACCAAATGTGACGTGAAAGAAAGCCACGTTGCAATTGGCCTATAGTTTTTATGGAAATAGGATATTTTTTTATTAAATTTGCTATTTTTAACTTGCGTAATAATAAATGAATTACTTGTAAGTAAATGTTGAGTTTGTAAAATATTACCAACTGCTGAGGTAAAGCGATTTTAAATATTGTTCCTTCTGATAAGAGAACAGTGTGCCCATTTATACATGAGTTTTCCTGCATAAAGGAACATTTTTACTAATGTTTATTCCTTGGAGAAGCTTGTATTTTCATTTTAAATGTAATTCATATCCTACCCATTCCAATATTATACACACACATTTATGTAAGTGCGTTGCATATTGTTTTCACATAATGTGGTATTTTAAAATTGCCCTTTGTTGCCCCGAGCTGAGGGCTGCAATGCATGCTTTTGTGAAAAGAAATACAGTACTTGTAAAATACTTAAAAATGCAGTCCAGCTCAGCATGGTGAAATATGACTCATCACAAACGTTTCATTATTACAATTGTACCGTGTGGTGAGTTTTGATAAGTCTGGAAATTATGCAAAACGAATAATGTGTTCTTTTATTTATTTTCTACACTTGGTGTACTTTATCATAATCAAAACCGCATATGCAGGGTTTGTTTACAGAATGGCTGGGTTCACGATTGCAAAATAATCACGTAATTGGCTCGCATAAGTGATAACAAAGTGTGCGAGAATTTGACGGCTGACATTGCATTTGATGAACGAGGACAAAGCTTGCTTTTGGTGTGCATGGGTTTACACTTTCACCATTTATTTGCAAAGCTTATGAACACTGTCTCCAAGAAAATATATATCAGTGTGACATGCTACATTTGCTGTGGTGATAAATACTCAGCAAAAATGTGGAAGCAGACTGATTCATCTTTACTGCTATAAAGTAAAGTTCAGCCCAATTGTTATCTCCTTAAAAAATGTGTGCTTAAAAATGTTACATGTTACATAACGCAAAATAATCGGCTTCTTTGTGGAGAATATAATACATAAATAAGCCGACAATGTGTCTCCTTCACGTGTCTATCCCTCCACATAAAAAATATTGAATACACTTAAACAGTTTCGAGCAATGCCTGACTGCTGATGAGACATTGAATGTCGAAACCGTTCCAGAGTTTGCTCATTTCTAACCAATCCCGCTGAAATTATGCACTCTCATAAGGCCACGTGACTCATGGGATGTGTAAAAATATACTTTTACGTGAAGGGACAAATATGTGAAGGGAGACATATTGTCGGCTTTATTTATTTGGTTACTTAAAACATATAATCAGTTTTGATTTAAAGCTTTCGTGACTGCAGGGATTCATATTCTTGGTTCTTTCGGTAAAGTCACGGAGAAGGGAAACAATAGAATAATAAAAATATAAAACAATACAATTCTCACGACGTTTCGACTACAACACAAGCAATCATCATCAGGTGTGAACACTGTCTATTGCTGTGGTGTTCACACCTGATGATTGCTTGTGTTGCAGTCGAAACGTCGTGAGAATTTTATTGCTTGTTTCCCTTCTACGTGACTTTACCGAAAGAACCAAGAATATATAATCAGTTGTTGATGTTTTGCAAATGTTTTCGTGTACAGTGCATGTGTGCAAGTGTTTATTTAATTCATGAAGTTTATTTATTATTTATGGCAGTGCTTGCTATTGGAAGCGATGTGGTGTTCTTGTGTTTATTTCTCGTCCGCACTTAAAGTATAACTCAATTTAGACTGTACAAGTGATCCCTTCATTGAGCAATGGAGAGTAACTTGAACCAAGGCTCGATGGTCCTAATGAACAGTAAAAAAATAATTAAAAACTATGGGTCCCAACTGAAGAAGCAAGACTTTGGTATCCCCAATGTGTTTGATTTAGACTTATGGCACTACTGTGTCTGGAATGTGTTATCTGTTGGCAGATTGCTAAGCTCCGACAGCATCTCCAAAGAAGCAAAAAGAGCAGCAAGCACCAGCGAGACAAGGAGAGGCATTCACCCCTGCATGGAAATCATGCAGCCATCCACCCAGCACAGGTATACAACAAGTGTCCCCCTTGTATCCTGTTTTACTCCTGTGTTTTCATAATCAGAAACGTTATTCATCCTGGAGGAATCAGATAAGCTATGAGGCTCTTTTTGCTTGATAAAAAAATAAAGTATAATTCATCATACTTGTGATGATGGGGGGCCAGTGGTGTTGCACATCTAAAAAACTCTTCAGTGAGACGAGAGATCACTGTTGGATAGTACCAAGCCGTCCATGAGCCGTATTTAAAATTTAAATCGTGCAATTTTGGAGCATTCCTTTGTCAAAAGTTATTAAATTACACCTGGGGGTGTGTGCACACGCGCCTTATGATGCATTCTATCCAGAGGTATGGACCTCCACGTTCGGGTGAAAAAATCCCCATTCCCAGGCATGAGTGTAGAAAGAAGCTGATGGTTATTTTTAATGCAGGGATGTGCCTCACAGCATCATTTCCTGTCATGCTTGTGTTGCAGTGTATCAAAGCACAGAGAGCACAGGGGATTTCTTTGTGCAATGGAAAATCTTCCCAGTAACCATGGCATCCTTGCCATGATGGTGCTTTTGTTATTCCCTCTCGTGTATGAAACCTCAAATTTGGATAATTGTAAAAACTGCTAATCACCTGGCCCCAGTCGATGGCACAGTTTACATATGAAAAGGTTGTCAAGAGTAGGAGTTATCTCTACATTGTAGGTCAGTGGTATGTGATTATAAGTACTGTGGTGTGAAGCCAGTGCTTTAAAATGTTAATGAAGTGTTGAAAATATTGCAAGCAAGGATTTTCATCTCTTTACTCTTACAAATGAAATTCTTGTGTCCTATGGCTAGGCAAGTATAGTCACACACACGTGCGATTTGGCTATGTCCTATAGATACACCGTTACCAACCCTAGCAGTTAAAGCGGTATTCTTCCAATTTTAAAACTTTTTTACCGCGAACTGGTTTTCAAATAAAATATTGCCTTTAAAAACGTTGCTTTTAAAAAAAAATGTGTCATGAGGTGTGATTGGTTATAAATATTGGTATGCAGTCAATGGGCTTAACGATTAGCATTTTATCACTTAAATTTGTTGATTTGAAAAGTACGTAGATAAACTATTACAATTATTTGCCAAATAAGCAAAACGCTGTAAATGTGCCATGAACTGTATGTGTAGCCTGTAACAAACAGTGTTTATGGGTTCAGCTTACTATTATTAGTAAAGTATGACATAAATCATATATTCTAAACTATATAATTGTTGATCATATTTTTAATAGCCAAAGATTCTGCCAGAGTTATTTTATATAATGATTTACATTCTGTAGACAATATAGGGTGACCTTGAGTATTATTTGAATATTGGCCTGGGGTATGTAACAGATATTTTCTATTACTGGGATTTCATTTGAAGGGCATCTGCGTCGCATAATGGCGACAGATAAAAGGACAATCGGCAGAGCCCGTTTGTGATCAGTTTTAGAAGCTGTGTAAGCAGTTGGGGTGGTGACATGGCTTGGCAGTAGCTTGTTTCCTGCTTGTTGCAGAGTCCACGGTACAAACGCAGCAATAATAATATATTTAATTCATGAAGTGCCCTTGAACAATCGTTCTCAGGGTGCTATGCATGGCAAGGCGGAAAATAGTTAAAAACAGCCAAGTAAATAATAAATTAGAAAGTCGGTTGAAATAAACAAAAGAGAGAACCATTTTATACGGATACGTTTTTAGTTGAGTTTTGAAGATTTGAAAGTATCTCAGAAGTCCTGACCTCGAAGGGCAACGAGTTCCAGAGTTGAGGTGCCGCAATTTCAAAGGCAAAGTCACCCCAAGTGTGAAGTCTAAACCGTGGGACAGTGAGAAATGTACAATCTGAAGATCTTAATGAGCTTAATGTAGGAGGTCATGAATGTAGGGAGGAGCGATTCCATTTAAGTCCTTGAATACCAGCAGCAGCCCTGGTGATTACTGTGGGTGTATTAGCCTTCTACTGCACAGTGGAGGTTAAAGATCCTGTGGCATCATTGAAAGGAGTTGGGCCCTTTGGGTGTCGTCGTCATGGTCCAAATTTTCCAACATTTGAATGACCCGCAAATTGCTCAATTGGGATTATACATAGCAACCATCACCCCCCCCCCCCTACTGTAACAACAACAAAAACTTTACAAAACCTTCCTGAAAAAATCATGAGATTCGGTAAGACGTTGCTGTGTAACACTGTGGAATAATAATAAATAAAGAATATACCACTGGACATGTGATGTGCATTTCCAATATTTGCACAGTGACATTTTACAAAATGCATCTTAGTACGTTAAAATGTTTAAAAAAAATTGCATTTCAATATTAATCATACAAGGCAACTAAATGCGAGTTAATACTTCTATATGACATTGACGTGAAACTGTGGAATTGTCTCTTGCCTAAACTAATATATTTATGCTCAGCTAATGCATGTGTAAACACAACATTAATACATTGGTTAAGTGTACCCAGGTGTTTGCTTTTATACCATGCTTGGCATCTGGATATCAAGCAGTTTGAAAATTAACAGAACCCAATATTGCCATAAAGCCATCCCGCTGCGGATAGCATTTTAACCAAATTCTCAAATGTAAGGCAATACATGGGGCACTTATGCATTACCTTTTTTCTTATTTGATTGTCAACGTTTTCTCCTTGTGCATTCCTTATTGATTTTTTGACAAGTTCTGCCTTATGAGCCGTGCATTATGTTGTAAGTGCTGACATTGCTTGTGGTAAATTAAATAGGTGATATTCTTCAGGTGTATGCCCCGTGCAGCATATACATCAGATGGTTGTACATCGGGATAGGTAATGTGTCCAATGTAGGCTATGGTGAAAGTGTTTTTAAAAATACAAATAGATCACAGATGTAGTCAAGCATGAAGTCAGATTTAAGTATCGGCTGAAAGCAGCACCAACTTAAATTTCGATTTAAAGCTTTCGTGACTGCAAGGCTTCATCTTCTTTGGTTCTTTCGGTAAAGTCACGTAGAATGAGAATAAAATAATAAAATAAAATAACACAATAAAATTCTCACGACGTTTCGGCCACAACACAACGAGTTGTCGGTGGCATGGCCGGAGTGTCTGTGCCCAGGCCGATGAAGGTGAAATTTGTCCGAGCAGGTTTGTTCCTTTCACCTGAAGAAGGCCACTTGTGTTGTGGCCGAAACGTCGTGAGAATTTTATTGTGTTATTTTATTATTTTATTCTCATTCTACGTGACAGCACCAACTTGTTCATTAGACCTCCTTTGCCAGTACCAAAATATAATAATAGGGTTTTTCCCCTTTTTTCTGGCAACAAATCTGAAACCTTTTTACAAGGAATCATGTCTGCATTAACCACAATACCTGCAGTCAAAATACAAACAAAAACATACTTTGATAATATGCATTGTCCTTGAAAGCCGTCCCTTGGTGTGGACCAATCAGTTTCAAGGACAATGCATATATTATCATAGTATGTTTTTTGTTTGCATTTTGACTGCAGGTATTGTGGTTAATGCAGACATGAATCCTTGTAAAAAGGTTTCAGTTTTGTTGCCAGTAAAAAGGGGAAAAACCCTATTATTATTATTAGCAACCAACTTGTATGGCTCAAACCATGATAATGAATTACTCTTTGGTTCTTTCAGTAAAGTCACGTAGAAACATAATAAATGAAATAATAGAACACGACGTTTCGATTACAACACAAGCAATCGTCATCAGGTAGAACTAAATTTGAGAGGGGGACAAAACACAGACACGGAGACATAGACAGACACACAAGCAGAGATAGACAACACAGTGCTTGTGTGTCTGTCTGTGTGTCTCCGTGTCTGTGTTTTGTCCCGCTCTCAAATGTAGTTCTACCTGATGACGATTGCTTGTGTTGCAATTGAAACGTCGTATTATATTATTTAATTTATTTTCTTTCTTCTTAACTTTACCGAAAGAACCAAAGAGTAATTCCTGCAATCACGAAAGCTTCAAATCAAGCATGATAATGATGATTACATAAAATAGCTTGTAATTATCAATAAAAAATTGTATTTTATTCCCTTCCCGTTGGCTACTTGGAATCAATCTGCCCTCAATAATACAATATTTAAAAGTCTGTAGGTACATTATGATGCTGCCCTGGTGGAACACCTGCACACTGGACTTGCAGTCCAGAGGTCACTGGTTTGATTAGATCTCCTCGCACGGCAGTTGACACAATGGGGCAAGTTTATTAAATAACCCTGCCTCTGTCCACCCAGCACTATAAGTGGGTTCACCAAATTTAGTCAATTCGCTTGTCGTAGGGTAAAGTGTGGGGATTCCCACCACTTCCACAACATCTGGCCTGTGTGGAAGGGGCGCCACAGTGGCAAGATGTTACTAATCTCGCCTGGTATACAGGAGGTCGCAGGTTTGATCCTGACCTCGACGCCTGCTGTATACTCTTTGGTTCTTTCGGTAAAGTCACGTAGGTATACAATAAATAAAATCACGACGTTTCGATCACAACACAAGCGACCGCCATCAAATAAATTAAATCATTTGATGACGGTCGCTTGTGTTGCGATCGAAACGTCGCGATTTAATTTATTTTATTTTATACCTACGTGACTTTACCGAAAGAACCAAAAAGTATGGATCCCTGCAGTCACGAAAACTTCAAATCTAGATTGAGTCTGCTGTATAGTTGGAGTTTGGCTGGGATTGCGTGAAATTTTCTCCGGATCCTCTGGTATTTCCCTCCACATTTAAAAACCTTGGTATGCATCGTGTCTGTTTTCATTCGCTTTGTTTGTTTTACATGCACAGATGGGTTGCCCTTGACCTCTTGACTTAATTTACTGTGCTTTAAGGTAGAAGTTCACATTGTCAAATAGATTCGTAAAAATATAAATTTTGAAAAAAATGCGTTTTCATTTATCACTGCACAGAATGGTATTGATTCCACTCCAGTAAACGTTGAAATCCCTTTGCACAGGTATCTATTTCAAGGGCCATTCCAATCCCAGTGACGAGCATTGCCTACGCCCGCACTTCTCTGCCACGGATGAAGAACAGTGTAGAAGGAGTCAACCAGGAGATCGAGCGCATGTTCATCAGTGAAGACAGAGATAAAGATGACGTTCTCAGGGTAAAATTGCACGTGCATTCTTTATGGTTTATTCTCCTGCCAAAGTTTCCCTCTAATGTGTTGGGTTTGTGCCGCACGTTGCGCAACATGTTATCCGACATTTCTCTCACTTCTTGAAGTAGCTCCCAGCATATGGAGCAAATTGTCAGGCATCATGCCGAATAACACAGCACAACCTGACAATCCATCGTAAAGGCCATAAAGCACAACCGCAAAAAGCTTCGCAGTAGCATTATTCTTGCCTAAATGATTGCATAAATTGAAAGACTCGTGATCTCCACAGATTTTAACAGAATGCAAATTCAAGCTTTTATTAATTTCCAACCATTTGTTAATACCATCGTGACAAAGATTGTGAAGGTAACTTTTGAAAAGCTAATTACATGATGGCACATATACCACAAGCCTTGGCAAATGTAATGGAGCCATTGGTTATAAATGTTAAATCATATAAGGAAAAGTATATCTGCACAGAAAATACTGGTCTGATCTAGTTACTCAAATAAGGTCAAGGTAAAATGACAAGTTCTGTGATTACCATGTCATGTTACAGCTGCCTTTATTATCTTGCTGTTTGTGGTTTTGAACATCTGCCATTTCAGTGGGGTGCTACGGTGGCGAGATGTTAATTACCTCGCCTGGTATACAGGAGGTCGTGGGTTCGATCCCAACCCTGACGCCTTTATATTTGGAGTTTGCATATTCTCCACGTGGTCGTGCGGATGTTTGCTCCGGGACCTCCGGTTTTTCCCTCCACATGTAGAAACATGCGTTTAAGAGTATTTGGCTGCTATAATTTTCCGTGTGATAAGCCACTTCGTTGAGCTATCATTTATGGCCAGGTTGCTTGTGGGCCTTACCTGGTAAAATAAAAAGTTAAGTTTAAGTTAAAACCTATTGCCTGCCAAGAAAGTTGTGCCCATTACGCACCCATATAGCATGCATCAACAAAAACAGCCAAGCTAAATTTGCCGTAGCTTTACTTTACTCGGGAGTCTGCGGTATTCTCAAAACCCTAATAAAAAATTACGTCGTTCTCCTGCAGCCGTGCGAAAGCGAAGATGGGCGCCGCGCCCCCGTGCCGAGCCAGCAGCGCAGCGTGGACACGCAGACGCCCTCAGGGCCGCAGTGCAGCCGCGAGAGCAGCAGCAGCAGTAGCACGAGCAGCACGAGCAGCAGCAGCAGCAGCAGCAGCGAGAGCCGCTCACACTCCGTGTCTCCAAATGTTTCCGTGGCCACCGCCGCCGCTGCCGCCGATAACAATAACTACAGCCCCTGCTGCACCGACGAGCTGCTGGCACAGTGCAAAGAAAAAGGTAAGTGTTGGGAGGAATCGCCTTGTCACCTTGTGCCGTCAAGTCGAGTACGACCTCTGGTAACATCCACGACCAGACTTCACAATCCACACCTGTCTCTCGCTGCCTCTCGTAGCTGGGTTAGTGTAAGGCTAGTAGTGGTGTTCTTGATGTCGTCCATCTACCTCCTCCGAGGTCGGCCCCTGCTACCTTCTCCATTCCCAAGCAAGACTGATTCCTCGAGCCCAGAGGTCCTCATAACCTGTTCAAAGTATGTCAATTTCTGCTTCTTGAGTGGAAGAGTGGGACCGATCTCTCTCAGGACCGACATGTTTGATATTTTGGCTGTCCATGGTATACGTATCATTCTTCTAGAGCATCACATCTCAAATGCACTGATCCTCGACTAGTTCATTTTCCAGACTAAATTAATTTCGTTGTTCTGTTGCCGTCACCTTCATATTTTGGAAATTGAGGCAGAGTCCAGGCTTCTCACCAGCTTTAACGTTTACCAACAGAGGGTCATCATTTCAGCTTTGCTATTTGCTAGTTGTGTGGTATCATCAGCATATCTTAAGTTGTTTATTCTTCTGCCTCCAATCTTCATGCTTGATTCGATGGAATGTAGGCCTGCCTCTCGCAAAATACGCTCAGATGGGATGAATACAAGGGGGGAAATATTGGGAAAATTTTGGAGCCCCCAGATGCTTGTATACTGAACCGCCTGTTTAAATAAAAAAAAATTGCTCCTCTATTGTAAGCTGAAATCCATTCTGTTCTTACATGTACTCAGAAGAATAGTTCATCTCAGCTTATTGGCTTTCCAGACCCAATGTTATCCAGTATCTTTTGTTTAAGCAAGCACCTCTGATTAGACATGTTAGCTACGTACGGTGCGAATGAAGTACAACATGTATACATACAAGCAAACTTATAGGTCTGATTAGCACATTCAACTGTATGCTTTGTTGTGGAGCACTATGGGCAAAAGCACATATGCGCACTGTATATGTATATTGAGTTGACATTTTAGTCCAGGTTGTTTGGATATGAGAAATATTTGTTTCATATAATTGAATTGTGGTGCTTTAATTGGGTACCACATTGTGTGCCTTGGTGAATAAACTTGGTGGGTTTTTATTTATTTAAAAAAAATGATATTTTGTAATGTAATGAGCAAGCTATAGGCAAATGAGCCATTGGGTAAGCTAGCTCTCCCTGTGTCTGATGGTAATCACTCGACCCATCAGGTGCAGATGGAATTTGGACATCCTGTAAGATATTTAAATTCTACAAAATATTTGCCATTAAAATAATTTATCTGCCATGTATTATTGCTTTGTTCCATTCATACTCTTTGGTTCTTTCGGTAAAGTCACGTAGGTAGAAAAATAATAGATCACGACGTTTCGATCGCAACACAAACAATCGTCATCAGGTGGAACAACTACAGCAAGAAAAAAACTAATCATATGAAGAAGCTGTCTTTAATTACCAAAGTTGTGTGAAATCACATGATCCGAAGTCTGTCCGCATTGTGTGTCTATGTTATTTGCAATTAGCAGCCTGCATTCTTTTCACGTTTACCAGCGGGTCAATGAAGTGACTCACCAACATATGTAGGAGTATAAAGTAAATAATGAAACAGAATCGCCATCGGTACTGTAATGTCGGCATTGGCCAATTTATATTAGTGTTTGTTCCATGATAACAACCAGGCCTCCTCCCCCCTACAAGCCTGAACGACAAGCTGGGCTGTACAATACACCCACCTAACCCCCTGGAAATTCCATTTGATTTCACGAGTTGAATTGCGAATCCGTGTTTAGAATCTTGACAGTCGTCCAGCTCTTAATGGACGCAAGTATGCAAATGGCGAGCACTAGCTTCACGACATGTGAAACTAATCAGAGGGACTGCCAGACCAAATGGTTTCCAGCCTTAATCTCCACCCTTACTGCTGAGGCTTTCCCTTGGACCACTGAGATGGCAACGTCGGCAATTGTAGAACAGGACCCCCAAAAAAACTGTCCTTGTATTTATGTATGTTGCACTTCGTTTGCACCGTACACAGCCAACCGTGAAACCAATCATTTCTGTTGTGTCCTAGAATAGATTGTAGTTCTTAACAGCACATGTAGTCTCATATATATATTATGTGTGTGTGCGTGCTTATCTGTTGGTCTCGCTCGCAACTGCCATTCTACAATTTAATTCACGAGTATACATTCTGTTCCTCCCTGTGTTCTGAAAAGCTATGGTGGGGTAGTAAAGAGAGGGGACAATTTGGTAAGTGCAGTAGTGATAGAGGGGGGTGGAGGAAAAGTAGGTTAAGGAGTGAGAGCAAAGCCTATTTATGACGAGTTGGATGAATGAGTCATCCTAGTGAAAAATACATTTGCACAATATAAACTAATACGTTCAGTACTTCCCTTCTATAATAGAACATAGTACTATGTATTTGTCTGTTTGGTCATCTCAACATTGCGGTATTGTAATTCTACTCTAAAATACTAATTCTTTTTGGTATAAAATCTGCCTATATTTCTAAGATTTATGGATTTAGTAAAAAATAAACACTTGGGTATGAGCAGGGGTTAATGAGAGGGTGTGTCAGGAAGAGCTTAGTAAGAGAGTGAGAGTCAAACTACTTTTAGTGGAATGTGGATTGTGAGAAGCCCAAGTGAAGAGAGAGAAAAAAAGCACGAGTTTTTTTTTGTGCGTGCTAAATTAATCACGCTCGTGTTCACGTATACATTTTTCCCTCTTTGCAGAAAATGGTGACAGCTCTCCACTCCCTAAGTACGCCACATCGCCCAAACCCAACAACAGCTACATGTTTAAACGGGAGCCACCCGAGGGCTGCGAGAAAGTCAAAGTCTTTGAAGAAACTTTGTGAGTACCGACACCTGATGCCTTGTCCTTTTTTTTGCGTGCGCGATTTGAAAATGTTATTTCCTGAATGCCGATAGATGTTTTCCTTCCGATGCGTTAAATATTGATCTGTTTATGGGAGCATTTTTTTTGCCAGTATCAATGATGTAAAAATAACATAGTTTACCCCTATTCTTTGAGACTTTACCCTGTTCGGAGAGGGCTAAGCCTATTATTTTTTAATCATTGATCTGCTTCTCTTGAAAACCTGTAATTGCTCCTTCTTAAGTTTTCCCGTTTTAGATTGAGTATCACCCTAAAGGGATGTGGTCAAAAATAAATCTCTGTTTTCGTCAGATATAACAACACATTTTCAAGTGTGGTATCGTATCTAAGAAAACATGTTTCCATCCTTCCTATATCCACTAGAATCCCAGTGGGAAATCTAAAAAGGCCATCGTGCAATTTAACACTTAAGCAGCTTTTTGCAAATTGATTTGCACAGGATTTAATTTAGCTTTTGCAATTGTGCAAAAACTGTAAATTTCCCAATTAAGCAGTGATCTTGCTGGTCGTGGTATTTTCTCTGCACTCCAATACAATTATGCACGTTTTGCAAAACTGGATACGCAAAGAAATCCAATTGTGTTTTATGAAAAAGTAATGAAAAGGAGTGTCTATTCTTTTTCTCTATTCAGCTAAATGTAACTGAATATACCTTCACAAAGCAATATGTTGTTTGGTGAAATATAAGACGATGTAAAATGTAAATCTATATAGGTACAAATGCCCTACGTGTATGTGTAAATCTCTTTCCACGTATTGTATTCCACACACACTTCACGTTGACATGCACGTGTGTGCGGTTTCGCTGCAGACCCAAACAACTTGGTGAGATTCCAACGTTTTACGGCCCAGATAAAAACAAGGTGAACTTCATACCGAAGAGGAGCTCTGCATTTTGCCCCGTCAGCATTATGAAACCACTACTCTTCACCCCAGAACTGGCCATAAAAGGTTTCCCTGGTTTAGGACCCATGCCTATCACAGGGGGTTCAGCCACAATGGTGGTGGTGGCCCATGCCGCGTCCCAGGCCATGCTGACGACGGCACAGCTCCTGGAGGAGGGCAGCTTCAGCAGCACCAACAGCAACCTCAATGCAAATGGGCTAAACAGCAGGGTGGTAAGCCCTGCCAGCCAAACGACGACGATGCCGCAGCAGCAACAGCAGTGTGGCTCCTCACTCGCCGTCCCAGGAACCACGCTTGTCTGACTGCGGAGCTGGTCTCCGCACAAGCACCTTAGCAGCCGTGCTGGCGCACACACACACACACACACCCACACACACACACCCACACACACACACACCCACACACACACACCCACACACACACACTCCCCTTATAGGCATTACTTGTAACTTGTCTCAGAGCTCTCGGCCACTGCAAACATGCACAATATAATGAACTTTCTTAACTGGAAAATTTATAACATAGGCTGCCGCGCAGTATGGTAAATGCCGTGTAATTTCTTTTTTTGCTAAGCAATTGCACAATATGTGTGCTTCAGTTCCATTGTAAACCAATATACTGGTTTTTATTTGTGTCTCATTGCGTTTTGGGTTAAAAGGTTGAGATTAACTTTTCACAGTTGGTATGGTTTTCCAAGAAAGAACTACCCAAAGTTACATGTGAATAGGTCAAACAATGTAATGTTGTGAAAGTACAGTGTGTTTTACCTAACGTAATGCAGTCTCAGTAGTTTCTTCAGACCCTTGGCTGAGCCCAACTGGCGATATACTAATTGTTGTAACTCAGGTAACTTTCACTGAAAGCGTGTTTGCAGTGGGTATTAAGGACAGAGCAATAAAGCAAGCTAAACAAAAATGTTAAGAAAAGAGTAGTTAAAGTTGAATTAGCAAATGGTGATGAGGAAGTGCTGCAGGATGAACAGTCAGGTGTTCCCACGTTGCCTTTCATTAATACATTTGTTTTATAAGATGCTCCCAGTGAGGACTCCAATGGAATTGATCTACAGTGGCTAAAAAGACTTGGAGGAAGAGAAATCTACTGTGTGATGTATAACATCAGTCTAGTGATTCATGCTTAGACACTGGTATTATAATGCTATTTCCTGCCATTGTGTTATTGCGTGTTAAAAAATGTGTGTTTTAGTATTAAACTGTTTAGTGGTTTCCAAATGTACAACATTCCATGTTAAAGGATAAAAAACATTCCTTGTTGGTTGTTTGCAAAAAAAGAAAGAAAAATACAAAAAATAAAAATTCACAAAACACCAGTTTTTAAAGACCTTTACTCTACAAAACTTTCCTTGTATAATCATCCAGATCTTTACAAAATGCTCTTTCTATATGCGTTTGAATGCTGTTTGTTGTATTTTTCTGAAATGAAATATCTATTTTATAACGTTATGAAATCATTCCTTGCTTCATACACACGTATTGCAGGCCACAGCTTTAGTATTTGCTCTGTTTCCGTCATGGTTATGTGCCTGTTAAATGTGTTAGGTTTTGTTTCTCTTTCCCTGTTCCATTTTTTTCATTTATCAGTTTACTTTATCAGAGCATGCTCTTTCCGATTGCTTAGGGCTGTATTTATGGATTTTATTTATGGCAGGTAGTTCAAGTAAAACCAACTTGATGTATCCTGAAAAGGCATTTCATGACTTGTGGGTGATGATTAGATGGAACCCTTTGAACGTTGCAAACTGGTTATGGATTTGAAAGTAAACAATAAAAGTGTTATGAAATGTTTTGACAAAGTTTGTTCATTTTGAAGAGTTATGTTTTAAATAAAACAAATCTGTATTTTAGATTTTTAAGATTTGAGAGACATACAAATGACCGTAGCTTTGTTTTTAATCTGCAGAAAGATGTATGTAAATACACTTGTTTATTTTGTACTTATGAGTGTAGGTTCAGAATTTAATGCATTTCAAATGAACTAAAATGCATTAGTGAATTCCCCCCCACTTCGCACAAGGGCTCACGTGACGTCATCACATCTATCCCTCAAAGGAACTAGACGGGAGGATTTCTCCACATCTGGCTGCCGCCTGATGATTACTGGCGAAACGTCGTACTCGGGTTGTAAATTATTGTGGATTTGCTCTCCAACACCCCGGTGTGCTCGACTCGTAACGAATTGGCATGTTCTGTTTACGTGACAAACCTTACTCATTGGCCGTGGCGGGTCTAACGACACTGTGGTCTGTATTATGGATAACACGTTACTGCCTCCATTGACCACTGCCCTTACCATCACAAGGTTGTGAGTGCAAATCTAAGTGAAGGTCAACTCCAATGCTGCTGGCTCTGTTACTGCCCATTGCCCATTAAAATGTTGGGACCACCGTGACTTATTTTTAGCCAGAGTTGTGGCTTTTAATATATCCAAATAAAAATGACATAGCACATACCAGCATTGTACTAACATCAGCAATGATCAATCCGCTGCTGGATGAAGGCCCTCTCTAAGCCACCACCACCACTTTGCACAGTACTGCAATGAACACAACCATAAACTAAATATGGAAAAGTAAAAATGCATGTGCGGCTTCATAAAAATGTCGATCTGATTGTGATATATCTCCTAAATATATTTTGAGAAGTTTTCATCGGTAAGTCATGCTACAACTTGTGCAACTTAATTTTTTTATTTTAGTTTTACTCCATAGACTGCATTTTTTGAATTATTATGGAGGGTGGCAAGCTTAAATTTTTACGTAGCAGTGGTGACCTTTAAATATTTAGGAGTGTAGTATTTGTTTGGCAGACATTTAATATTTTGTAACGCTGGAAAAATATATTTAACCGTTCTTATTAAGGAAAGCATGGTCAACCCTTTCCATAATCCTAATCTTGCTATATGTACTCTAGATAAGTGCAACTAACACGTAACGCTAGTAAAGTACACAAAACCACAGGAAACCAATACAACTATCTGCAAGTCATGCATTTTCACCAAATCCACATTGTTGCTGCGAAATTGCTTGTTCTTTCAATGCATGCCATTCTCTATTAGCACAAAGTTTGCTATTACAGTCTTCAAAATGCATCATTAAACGTTTGAAAAACGTGGGTAAAAGTGACTGCGGAATTATAGAATACCGTACGTAGTTCACGTTTTTGAGGTAGACTGGCATTCCAAGTAAGATCGGTGAAATGCTTGTGTAAAAAAAATGCATTTCTGTTTTGACATGGTGCCATATATAAATAATATCTAATTGACCCTAGTGGCTTAACATTTACGCAATGGCAATTGTTTTGTGTAATTTTAGTAACTGCATACTTTAATACAGGTGTTTGTTGGGGGTTAGATCGCGTAAATATATAAATGTGTTGTTTAACTTGTCACCACTCGACAAAGCCAATTAGTAAGGGTTGTCACGTAAACAGAACATGCCAATTCGTTACTAGTACAGCACACCGGTGTGTTGGAGAGCAAAACTACAACATTTACAATCTTGAGTACGACGTTTCGCCAGTAATTACAACTAGCTTCATCAGGCATACTTTAATGACAAGCTAGTAAATTGTAGCTTTAATATGCTGCAATATGTGACAATGTATCATGAACAAAGAACCTCCCATATTGTTTCATTTTGTCTTGAGTAAAACAAAAGGTGGCATAAATACGTGAGTTGGACTCCGATCCACCATACAGAAGTGAACGCAATTCTCTTGGCTAGATCTGTTGGAAGAGGCTGATGGAACATTTTTGTGCTCTGCCAAGCTGAGTAAGGGTGTGGCAAATAGCATGTCCTTGCTAAAAGCAATTCATATCTGTGCTAACGCTGGCAGATGTCATTTTTTCTAAGTAATTCAACCAAAAAAGGTCTTCCCTGGATGGAGTGATGCCATGTTAATTGCATTTTATATCCTGGAAATTCACGAGCAAGTAGCTGGATCCCTCAATCTTGGCATAAACTGGTTTGAATACGTTATTGGAAATTCAGAATCAGAGTGGTTGGGTTAGAGTTATGTAAGAAGATCGCATAAAGGCATGGCGCTTCCACAACCAACAAAAATGTGCAGTCTTCCAGTAGTAATTGTATATATGGCTTTCTTGAAAATATACAAAACAGTACTGTAATAAAATGTATGCTATGACACTGGATTGCAAGGCTTTTAAATACCTTTTGAGGCAGATGCCCCTTCCCCACTTGGCTTTCCATGCCCCACCTTAATCTGCTTATGGTGCCAGGCCATGCTGGTATCACAATGTGTCCCAACAGATGGCCCATGGTTGGATGGAACCATTGAAGTGGGTTTCTGCCGAAATTGCCGAGTCTATTAGAAATTACAGATGTGAAAAAGATGGAGCGACCTGTGCACAAATCCATGTATGTGTTCCACTATTTTTCGATAAAACCAAACAATGATGTTTATTGTGGGGCTCTCCCATCTTCAAGGCCAAGCAGGACATGCAGCGGCAGAGCGGGCCTGCAGTTCAAAATCAGAATATTTATGCCGGAGGATGCTGATGAGCTATAAAGCTCTTTGTCACATGTCCAGTAGGGACGGGTAAGAGGGTTACAACAACAGTTGATAGTAGTGCAAAGTACAAGAAAGGTAAACAAATCACCCAAACACAAATAAAACTAAACCATCCTTCCCGGCAAAACACACTGAGGTATTAAAAACATTTTCAGAAGCGACCTGGCCACAAATGATAGCTTAACAAAGTCGCCCATCATTTGGACATTTATAACACCAAAATCTAATTAATCTCAATGCATGTTTCTGAATGTGGAGGGGAAAACCGGAGGACCCGGAGACAAAATCCACACGACCACAGAGAGTGAGACACGCAAACTCCAAATATACTGCAGGCATCAGGGTCGGGATCGAACCCCCGACCTCCTGAATACCAGGCGAGAGGGATAACATCTCGCCACTGTGGCGCCCCTTTATAAAAAATAAAGTTTACATGAAGGGGAACTCTTCCATGTGAAGGGTGGGCTAGAATAGGCAAAGTCTCACAGCACCTTCTCAGAGGCGGTGCAGAGGATTATCTGAACTCTCCAGGTGTCATGGGTCAGTGCGCGAATCTATCCATCTGAACAGACTGGATGTGGCGGTGGAGGGGGGGGGCAGAATCTTTCTATGTCAAGATGATACAGGTTTGGAGGAGGTCTGAGTCACTTTGTGCTCTGTTTGGAAGCCAGATTATGGACAAAGCAGAGGCCTGTGACTCGGGTGAGAGATTGTATTTCAGAGGCTTACCTGTCTAGAGGTCATTCGCTGGTCATTCAACCAGCGAGAGAATTGAAAAGCAATGGCATTTCCACCACCAAGACGTGGGAGCCCTCACGGGAGCTGAGGTGGTAGGGTAGAATCATCCAGTCGGAAAGACGAATGTGAGGCGGTCTTTTTTTGTTGTGGTTGTTTTGTGTTGTTGCTGTCACTGCTCGTTATATCCACGCTGTCCCTTGGCTCCTGAAACATTGTTTCTGAATCATAAAAGCGGGAGAGTTGTTGGCACCTGCCTGTCTGGGAGACCGAGGTTTGAGAACTTCCGCTACATCTGCAGTCTGTCGCTACTCCCGCACTTCCCTCCTGCTTCCCCTCTTTGGATTGCCGTTGTAGCTTATGTGGAGTGGATCGTCCTGTTGTTCACTCGTTGTGAATGGGGAGGGGGGGGGTGCTTCTGTCCGGTAGATTGGATTTGGCATGGTCCATTGAGATCACCACGATCGAGCAGGAGTCTTGTACTGGTGGTAGGCTTTGTGGCTAAAATGCAAAGGTGGAGTTTGACTTCTATATTTGGGGTGTGGCAGGGGTTCGCTTTGCCCCTCACATTAGGAAACGCAGGTGCTTGTAATTAATTTAAATGTTTTATCTTAATTGTAAACTACTGAAAATAAATCAATAAAGGTGACCAGTTAGGGGGGCGCAAACTCCGCCCATGCTAAAATGTGTATGTTAAACTTTTTTCGCACCGTACGTCGTCAGCCGGGCTGATCGGAGGTGCGGGATTTATGATAGGTGCTGGGACACGGACCGGGATTGATGAGCCAGGGGCTGGAGTTTTTCAACGGCTGCGTACTGACACTGGGCTTTGTGCAAACCGCTGAAGCCAAGTTCAAGTGGAGTTGGGTGCAGTGGTGGCACAGTCGTTCGCGATTGACCTGAAGCTATGAACGCGACCTCCAGTGTTCAATCCCGGGCCATGGCTAACATCGGTGGTTGGTGATTCTCGAACTGGACCTGCCCCCCCCCCCCCCTCTCTACACTCCCTACCATTTCACCAACTAGCTCTGATCATCAATGTGCAGTATATGTGTCAAAGAACACGACGTGAGCAGGCTTTCATTTAGCAGTGGATTGACAAAGGACAGTCAATAATTATCGTTGGTCAAGTGAACAAGTAGGTGAAGCACTGCAGCTATGGAGCATCATGTCTATCAAGTCCCGCACAAAAGCACCGACTGTTTATAAGTGAGCACATGCTCCTGTGCCAGTGGTCCAATTGAACTTATCTTGCGGCGTACGCAGCAAGCCGTGCTAATCGGAGGTGCGGGGAAAGGACAACACACTAAACACACAACTGTCGGGTCACATATTCACCCGGTATGTACCGTGACATTACACCTGTAGCATTCCATGAAATTTAAATAAAGCATTCTGTCCGGAATGTTAACGTTTTCAAGATAATAATATTAGTTGACATTTTCCAGCAGAAATAGCCACGTGTTGGAAGTAAAAATGTCCAATTTTAGATGGCCTTCCAAACCAGAGTTCGGAAACATCCAGTGTG